AAAAAAAGCAAAGTACAATCCTCTCAACAAAGCACGTGAGTTGCCATGTATAAAATAAAAATTATAAATAAATGTGAATTTGGAAAAAATACAACATTGAAACTTTTTATCCTTGCAATACACAAAAATAAAATCATTGAAATTCAGTAATTTTTTGTATGAATCGGTTATATGTGTCATTAAAAATATCTATTTCAATAACATCACTATTAATTGCATTAAACTCTCTGCATAAGCGTAAAATTGGGGAGTTTAGAGCGAGATTAGTTCTACAATGCGGGATATGGAATATTTTTTTATGTTTATATCTTGGTAGACGACTTGGAACAGCGAGACCCACTTTATCAATGATTTGTTTACAGTCTATTTGATTTTATTATAAATTGTGTTCGTTTTTATTTGTATTTATAGTGGACTAAGCTGATTTTTTAAGGTTTTAAAAATAATCTCAAACAAAAACCCGGGAAATCGGGCCCGGGACAAAGCAAATATCGAAAAAAAAATACCGGGCAAAGCTCGAGAAAAAAATATGTCGAGAAATCGGAAACCCTAATCATATTAGATCCACGCTGAACCTGTAATTCCCATATCCGGAAACAAACTAAGGTCATGGACGTAGGAGATTAGGTAATGAAATGAAAATGGAACTGGGCAGGACAAATGGCGAGACGTGGTGAAGACAGGTGGAGTAAAACTATAACCGATAAGTGGCTAAGAAATGGTTACACAAACATGTGGCGTCCTGCAGCGAGAAGGGTGGACGGCAACGTTCAAGTTGGGTGGACTAGCACAGGGTAGTGGTGGATGGGATAAACTACGGGAGGTCTATACCTAGCAGTAGGTAAAGCCGGGCTGTGGATGATGATGATAATGCTATACTATAATGCTTTATAAATGCGTGCGGGTTGTGTATGTGTGTGTACCTATTTACCGAACTAAAAAAACAGTATTATTTTCAGCCTGTAATATATCAATAGCAACTAGCTAGAAACACGTAATAAGCCACCTTAATCAATTATTAATGGATTCGGCAACTTTTGGACGCTCAACTTGGTCGGATTTAAAGCCGTGACGTCATTCTGCTATTTAGGTGCAACTTGTTTGCTGCCTTGTCTTGTTACGAGATTGCTGTCTACTTTCAGTGGTCTCAATTCGATTTTATTGTTTTTATTTAGACTCGGAATGAAGTTGTGTAAAATAGATCACAAAAAATAGGCACGTTAAAAGTAAGAAAGTATGACGTCATAACACTTATATACAACAATTTTGTTGCCTTGTCTTGTTACGAGATCGCTGTCTAGTACTTTATTGTTTATCACTGAATGTAGTTGTTCAAAACTGGATTAGTTTCATGTGATCCAGGAAAAGTAACAATGTATGACGTATCTCATACCTATGTACTTTATAGAGACTTATATTATTATATACAACTTATACTTGCAATACCAATATCTTGTTATGAAATTTCAGTCGACTCATATCGGGCACTGTTCTTGGTACGCATAACATTAATTTATAATCATGCAAACAAAAAAAATATGAAAATATAACAATTTAAGTGGTTCTTGCCTTTCAATGAGCTACATTATACTTTTTTCAGTTTGTATTCTTAACATGTTTAATATAACATTATAAAATATAAAATTCAACAATATTACATGGCATTAAGTAAAGGAAATAAATTTATGCATATTTTTAAAATATAAGAAAAAAACATCTCATTTTATTTCTTATTTTCTATATTAAACAAATTTCATGTAACGCCGCACTCTTTGACATAGTGTTCTTTCATGTTTTCCCTATGGATATCTAGGCTTATTTTGACAGAAGTAGCTGCCAGGTTTTTAATCACTAGAGAACTCATCGAGATGAGCAGAAAGCTCCAAAGCTAGAAGTTTCGCCTGTGGCCTTTAGGGACCCATATTTTCAACCGCAAAAGGCACAAAACTCTAACATTGGCTGAGGTTCCTTTAAATGAACCTTTTAGTTCTCGGCTGCTCCGGCGAGTCCTTATACCACCCTCGTGGACATAAGTCGGTGCCACAGTGTGCACAAAAGTCGCATTCTATACTGTCAGCTCAGTTTTTATGTACCGATATTTTGTTTTGTGACCGGTGTTTTTAGTAGCAGTAGAGCTCCTTGTGAAAGCACATGTGGAAGGCAAAGTCCAGACACATGGGACTTGTCAACTTATGTCTCAAGATGACGGGCGCAGTGGCAGTGCCCCTCAGATAATTGCGATTTAAAGCTCTGAGTGGCACTGGAACAGTTATGGACAGGCGTGTAGCTTACCTTCAGGCGCACGACATGTTCGTCCCGTCACTTGATATTATAAAAAAAATGTTGATACGAGTTTTATCATCAAACCTTTTGTCGATGACCTCGGTGGTTTCACAGTGTCGCCATCTCTGAGGTCCCGGGTTCGTCCTTCGGCCGGGTCAATATAGAAAAACTAACTTTTCAATACTGTCTTGGGTCTGAGTGCTTTAGTTACTTACTTTGGGATTAATGCAACGTATATTATGTTGTCTAATATTAATTGTCATTGTTGTGTCAGATCCCAGTGAGCTCCAGAGCATGATGGTATTAAGTATCTGGTGTCGGGATATCGGGCCAGCACTTTCGATGAACGAACGGCCATAATATAGTTGACAACATTTTTGAAATTATTCCCTGGTTAGTCGCAGGATGGCTGTCCACTCACAGCGGATTCTATTTTTAATATTTATTTGTTTGATAGAAGATAAGCTTTTGCTTTGCGTATAGTTACATTTAATTAAATTATAGTTACTCCGTTAAGAGTATTTTTACACCGACTTCAAAAAAAGGAGGACGTTCTCAATTCGAATGTATTATTATAATTTTTTTTTACGCGATAACGCATTTGTAAACAGATTTTGATATATTTTGCTTTGTTGGAAAGAGTGTGTACTGTGTGACTACCTCAGGAGTGGTCCCATTTAAATTTGAAGAAAATATTCCACCTCTAAGGGTGGCAAACTAGGGGATGAGTCCGGTTTCGCGCACTTTCCAATAACCGATTTCAATAAAACTTGGCAAATAGATGTGATTCCACGAAATTTTGAGGTCGATTTTTGTAGTAGTATTTCTGTACTGAGATTATTGTGTCTCATTATGTCTTAATATATATAACTTATTTAATATCAACATATTTACATACATTTTTTTTACTAAGGATACGTTTCAATTGTACCTTTTTCGCTTGTAATTTATTTTTCTTATTCACTTCCAGTCACCATGGACCTTGAATATATGACGTCCCCCTGAAGATGAACAAAACAACTGCCTCCGTGGACGCAGCCACTGACACGCAGAGGTCCCAGGTTCGATTCCCGGGCCGGGAGAAATATTTGTACGGCCTACATTTATTTCTCTCGTGCGTTTGGGTGTAATTTGTGGTTGTCTATATGTGTGTCCATGGCACCCGCGACACAGGGTTTCCCTGGGCTATGAGTGTGTGCGTTATTATTATTACAGCTTATGAATATATATTTCCCACATAGTTCTTTATTAGTGTGGGGCTACGTTGAGGGTGTGCGTTATTTAAAAAAAAAAAAATATGGCAGAGTGGAACCGAACATCCCGCATTTAAACCTCTGCTGTGATGTTCGTGCTAGTAAGCCAGAGGTGACAGTTTGCGCGCTCCAGAATTGTGCCAGCTTAGCCCCGAACCTGGGACAGGACATGAATGAGTGACCAGAAGACGTAAGCAGCATTATAATGTGTTTTTGTTATTTAGCCGTGATAACTGCCTTTCCGAAGTTCTGTGACCTAATCTGTGAGCTAAGTCTATTTTTAAGATTATTTACAAAAGAAAGTTTGTAAAAAAGTAAAAGAAAAATCTCTCTTCAGAAACTCTTGAAACTACTAGGCAGTTCTCAGGATGCTTAGATTTATCAATGTAAGAAAGACAGTTTAAGAAACATGACATTGATTTAAAGTTTCTTAGGGACAAAAGAAGTATTAAGGTCGAATTTTGAAATTAGGTTTTCTTACATGTAAATGTATATATTTAATCACCAATACTAAAAAAAGTTCTTTTAAAATATGACTTTTACTAACTAGTTTGAAATTACTCAAATGGGGCGCACGCTTTTTTTTAAAGTCGGGTCATAGTAAAAACTTTCCAGCAAAGTTAATTTTATGAAATTGCCTTAAAAGCGTTACCATTTACCGTAAAGCAGAAAAAAATATGCGTTTCCATTGAAATGGAATAGTTTTCGGAATGCAATGGCGCACTAAGGTGATGCGTCGCAATTGCGAGCACGGCCGATAATGCATTGTCCAGTGCGAGCACCCCCAAAAATACACGCGAAAAAACCCATGCCACCTCCCGCATTACGTCCCCCCTACCGCGCACTAAGCTTCTTTTTTTAATACATAACTTTTTTTCAAGATGCATTTTTACATGTTTCGGCCTAAAACTTTACACACCCAGCGGCATGAGCCGACAAAAACGGTAACGCCTCTCTACGCTCGGATTTCTCGCTCTCGCCCACACGAAATCCCCGCCGGACGATAGTGGCGTGAGCGAAACGAAGCGATTCGCGGCCACTGCTACGTCTTAAACCAAGATTAAGGCTCTATTCCGCTTTTCCGAACGCAGATTCTTGCTTCGAACTAGCCGAACGTTAACTACGGCCGGTCTAACTCATTTTTAAATAAGGTTTTACGACTTTTATACGACTACAATTGTTGTAATTGTTGGAAAGTTGTCTACTAAAGGCGATAGCTAGACGTCTCACTCTAGCGTCCAGTGCGAAGGCATTCGCGCCACGACAATTGAGTTGAGTTGAATTGAATTGAGTCGGTTAAACCGTAAAAATGGTCGGGCGGGCATAGCCACGCGAGAGAGAGACGAATGAAAGGCGTGTTGGTAGAGACCGCTGCCTTCTTCTCCTCGACTTACGGCGCGTCGCGGGTAGTGAACGTCAGCGTTCTGCCGCGGTCGGCTGTGTGTACATACGCTTGTGCCTCGTACTTTTGAGGAAAAAAAATCGTTTCGCGCGTCTTTTGACAGCTGCAAACTTTTGAGTGCGTTCCAAATTTGACTGAGTGCTGCCGTGTTTATTTCATTAACTGGATTTATGTTATAGAGGATTTATTAGCTGAATTAGTGTATAGTTATTAGTGTGCTCGGACTGGTCGCTGAGACGCTATAAAGTGATGAATCAGCGGGTGCCGGTTAATTAACAACGTCACTGCTACGAAAACAAATCTACCGTCTTCAACTGCTGTCTAGCTACCGAGTGTTGTAAGTTTCGGGTTACTGTTTATTTAATAGGTAGCTTTGTATTGTAGCTATGTAAGATGCTACTAAAGTCTTTACTAAGATCGTACAGCTTTTTTGTTTTAATGCTTTTTTATCTTTCATAAACGATAGCTTAGTGTTTTACAGTTTCAAGTAGGTGGAAGTCATTTAATTTATTTATTGTTTTCTCTTTTATACTGATTTATCTTTGGTATTTTTTTCTTTTTTTATTATTTATTATATTATTTTAATAATTAATTGTAGATAGTTAGTACCTACGCACAGGACCAGATGTTTGGAAAATAGTTTTGAAAAACTTTTGGTTAATGAGATTGATTTTTTGTTTCGATAAAATATTTTTTGTGACACGTGAAAAACGGAGGGAAAACTTTATATAACGTTTTTGACGTAAAGAGGAAAATAAACGGGGCGGGGCAACGAGCGCCCGAACAGCTGATTGGCCCATACATGTGCACCTTTTTTATAGGTACTTTTTTATTTTTTACCTTACCGAGAAAAATTATAGTGTACACTATCCATGCAGAGAATTGTTAAAATATAGTTTGCTTTAAATAACCGTAACTGCGAAATGAAGCTCTTATAATTATACAAAAAGATTCTAAAAAAGTTTTTATAATTAATTTTTTATTTTGTAATATCAGAACTTACCTTAATTCATTTTGAAATTTAGTTTGTAATAGGCTTTCTAAATGACCATGTTCATATTAAAATTATAATAAAAATAAAATAAAAATGTAATAACTAAAAAATACTAAACTGCGTATGAAAAATAAGAATTGATCAATCAATTAATTAATAATTAATTTGTCATCACAATGGCGTGTCTCATTTTATTTAATACCTTAATTTATTAGCGTTTATATTCCAATTAACTGTTAATTTAAAGAAGTCCTTACATCAGTATTTGACTGACAATGTGGATTTCGTAATATTGTCTTCACTTTCTATTACTCTTTCTTTAATACAGCTTAAAAAACTTATTTGAATTATTTCTCCAATAACAAACTCCAGCAAACAATTTTCTTTTTAACAAACCATCTTATTTTAAAGTTTTAGTAATCAAAATCACAGTCGTCTTAAGTTTGTAACTACAAAGCTATCTTACGACACGAATCATCACAAAAAAATCATAAGATATTGTTAATTGAAGAATTCTGATCTAACTGGTAATTACGATTTGATACTTTTGGTGGGGCAAAAACTTTCCCCAATTTCAATTTTGACATCTATGAGAGAATGTTGCAACGAAGGAAATACTCTCTAAAAAAAATTATATTAATTCACAGTAAACCACAGATCAGCACGATATTTCTCACGTGCACTCTTTTGAGAAATTGCATGCAACCATCAAGGACGTTTTTTCCGATTATCAAAGTGTTGCCAAAAATAACTTTATTTCTCCAATTGTCACGAGATTCTGATTAACATTACTTGTACATCAAACATTGAAGCACGATATGGCACCTTTACCAGTGTTCATTCACAGGTAACGGCACATTATGGCACCCTTTTTGAGGAGGGTTAGTTCTTGGACAAAATAAATGTTTACCGAGTATACATTCATAGAGTTTATACGCGCACATACATGTAGTCTATAGGAATATAAGGACGCACGTTCAAAGGTTGTACCTAGGCAGTAAAATATATTGCTTTATATTAAAAAAGCGCATCACTAGTAAATTATGCCAAACAGTTGAACTGCATCGAATGAATTTTTATAGGAAAATTCACGGATTAATTTACACAATATAGTTGCATTTAAAGACGAGTATTATATTAATTCAAATGCAATAAACAAATTTCCACATTTGGTAAACAACAGAAAGCACTTAACAAAGATGAAGAAAGATTCTTAAAAAACACTATGACACAATACTGCGAAATTGTCAAATAATAAGTATAAAAACAAAAATAATGCACAATGTATACGCAAGTTAGGGTATAGTCTATAATCACACTAAAAACGCTATTTTGTTCTGTACTGCATACAGCTCATAATTTAATATTGCATTACGAGTTAGCACGTTTCCGCTTCCTGCAGGTCAGAGTGGACAACAGCGATCTTATCTCTAAATAAAAAAACTCAGAAAAATAATTTTGGAACTTTTTATCATAAATTAGATAAGTAATTAAAAAAAAAACATGTAAATACTTTAAAAAAATATCAGTCATGAAAAATAATGTTATTTCAAATTCTAAAAACTTGACCAAACAATAGACGAAGAAAAATTTAAATATCTAAATAAATCGGTCTGGCAGTATAGTTTAGATGCCTTAGCGCCCTTAGCCTGTCCCGGAAGACGAAAATTTTACTGCTAGGTACTACGAAGCAAGAGAAAAAGTGTAAATTTACAAACCCATCACACAGCGACAAAAAATAGCCTTAGACAAAGATTGACGAAACAATTTAAATTATCTATTAGCGAGTTCTATTTCCATACGATCGCATCATTTTGTTCGAATCCAACGGGCATTGTACTAATTAGTACAAATCACGTGAGTCATTTTATACCAACTTCATTGCTCTGAATCAGTCATTTTAATTGTGCCCGCAACCATTAAGACGTTAGATTAATACGGCGATTGTTCCAAAATGTAATGAGAAGGTACTATGAGTACTTACAGGTTTTGAGGAAATCAAATTAGTTATTGTAAAGGCGGTTAAGGAATTATAGGCCCTCAAATTGTAGCGCTAGAGTTGATTTTTGTCATCAATATTGTGTTGCCCTTCTAAACAGCCTCGCGATGTGGCGAGAGTCACTCGACAGTTGTTAGAGGTTTCTGTATCAGTAATTATTTATATTTATCTAATATTTTTAAATAACAACGCTGTCAAAAGTGTAAATCATTATTTCATCGGCTGTTCTTAATTCGTGCATAAAAGTGAGCGTGGTAATTGATCGTCCTGTTTCTGAACTACCCTCCATTGAATAGTATGCGCATAAGCAATAAGACAATCCAATTAAAACTACTGTGTAAGTTAATTCGTAGTATTAGTTCCAAAGAGAACTAATTACCTCATATTATTAAGATATTACCAACCGGTATCCGTTAAAAATCATGCCTGACATCACATACTTTGCAAGCAGGCAAACTCCAGGGCAAGGCCAAAGATCCACGTGCTTAACCGTCTAACTCGAAAGTCAATTGATTTGAAGATAGATTTGACATTTCACACTGATCATCAGAATGACTTGATGGATAGGCTCCAGGACTGGCTGTTTTCTCACAACAAAAATATTATTATGCAATACTTAAATGGTTTCTATTTCTAAAATATTATTATAAGTCCTAAATGTTTGTGCATTTCAATACTTAAATGATTTTTTATTTTATTTATTTTCACTGCATTGTGCACAAAGTAGCATAAATGGCGGACTTAATGCCATTACGCATTTTCTACCACTCAACCGGAGAGCTGAGTTCAGAATAAATAACAGGGGTGCATAACATGACAAATAAAAACAGACAAATAACGCACAAATAAATAAATATTTTATAATATTTTTTATTTACGTCCTAAGCTCTCATATAATTATCTACCCTAGCAGATCTTCAAATACTATTTTTATGAAATTTAATATTTAATTGTTATCCGAAACTATGTTTATACTACTGTATATTATAATACTATTTATTTTTGTGTACTAAACTACTATTTACTATAATTGTGTTCCAAAAAACCGTTTTAATTTAAGTTTAAATTAAATTACTGTTTACTATTGTATACTAAACTACCTTTTAGTACTGTGTACCAAACTACCGTTTATTACTTTGTACTAAACTGCTGTTACTACATACATTCATAAGCTGTTCAAAATATTGTAACGATAAGGGTGAAGCGTTACTTAAAGGAATAATTGCATATTTGTTTGCAATAAACTTAAAGTTAAAGTTGAAGGAGATCATTGCTCCCATGTGTATTACATTAAAGAATGGCTGATTTTGCTATGCTCCAATTTAAGGGATTTTATCTAAATATGCTTTAAGCAGTGAGCACCGATTTTTATTATCTACTGTGTTAAGTCCCGTTTAGTGGCGAATTAGAGAATGAATCCGATTTCTCGCACTTGACGTTAACCGATTTCAATAAAACTTGGCAAATAGATGTAATTCCACGAACTTTTGAGGTTGGTTTTTTCGTACTGAGATTGTTATTTAATAGATTACACACGAACCGTTTTAAGACCGAAATACAAACTAATTGCTTATTAAGGCGAGGTATTTCATTGCGAGCATAGATTTTACGAGATGAGGTGTTTGTCGCGTCACCAAGAACAGGCGGACAAAATTTGACACAGACCCGACGTCGACTAGCAAATTTTGGGATAAATGCATTGACTTACAAATAAATGGACCACAGGTCTAATACAAAAACCACGAAAAAAAATGTCCCAAGTCAACCTATTTAAACGTAGTGACATGTAAAGGAATATGCAAAAGCTAAGACGCTAAATTTAAATTGTAATGTCATCGCAGTACTGTCTAATTTTGCTTGCTTCGCTGTCAGTCGAACAAACGAAGACTAAAGCGTGAATGACGCTCTGCATACGATTTTAACGCCCTATAAGTTCGGACACTTTTTAGCGCGGACCCGACGTCCATATAATTGTAAGTCAATGGATAAATGTAAATTTTCCTTAATAATTATAGGGTTTCAGTTGAAAACCAAAATGTAGCAGGTTCTCTGTAACATTTAAAGAGAAATATCTCCATATAATAAATTATGTCCTGTGTTAGATATTTTATTCTTAAATAATTTGTTTGAGGCTCTTATCTTAGCATGTATTCAGAATGTAATATGATCGGATAAAGTATATCCTATCGTGTAACAAATTACATTACATTCTTTAGAAAATATCCTTATGTGTATCGTATATTTTTTTTAAGACCGTAATTTAATAATAAATATGTAAACCATTTGGTCTAACAAAACAGTTATTCCCGCTTCTCGAGCGGTGATTCGCCTTAACAAGAAACTA